GGAGGGGGAGGAGGAGGAGGAGGAGGAGGAGGAGGAGGAGGAGGAGGAGGAGGAGGAGGAGGAGGCGGGGAGCGATCTGACCCCCGAGCCACCCGCCCCGTTCTTCGTTTTCCTTCGGCCGCGTCCTCTTCTCGTCCTCCTGCGTCAGGGTGGCACATGTTTCCTTTTCCTCGTCCGCGCCTCGTGTGCCCTCGCGATTCTGTTTTCGGCGTCGACTAGCGTCGGTCAGCGTCTGGGAGTCGATGAGATCGTGCCGATTCAGCGTCGCCTTCGTCGACCTAGCGTCGATAAGCGTGAGCCGACAAGATGGTATGGGAGGCTCCCATGAGTGTCACCGAAGGGTCGCAGGCGATTCTTCTCCCCCGAATCCCCCGGGCTCCGACCGCAAAGTCTGGCCGCTCAGGAGGAGGGGGGGGACCCTGGGATGCACCCCACGGGGGTCGTTCGGGCGCACCCCCCCCATCGAGGATGGGCGCCCCCCCCCCCCGCTCTCGCGTATCCCAGTGGTGGGCCCCCCAATGTTTCGCCCATTCGAAAGCACCACGAAGCCTGGGACAGGGGGTCGACGCATCATTTGTTGGGCGGTGGGGCGGGGGGGCGACGGTTCGAAAGCACCACGAGGCCTGGGATAGGGGGTCGACACATCCTTCGTTGGGGGGGGAGGGGGCGGGGGGGCGACGAGCAGGAGGCGGAAGTGGAGGGCGACAGGACGGGGGCCCCGCGAACCAGGGGGGCCGAGTTGGGATCCCCCCTGGGGGGCTTCGGAGGTGCCCGAGAGGTGCGCCGTTCTCTTCGCCCATGTCCAGCTCGCCCTCGTTTCCCTCCTCCCCTTGCTGTCGTCGTCGTCCTCCTCCTCGTCCTCCTCCTCGTCCTCGTCCTCCTCCTCCTCCTCCTCCTTCTTCTCCTCCTCCTGCTCCTCCTCGTCGTCCTCCTCCTCCTCCCCTTCCTCCTCATCCTCCGTATCCTCATCCTCCTCTCAACCTCATCCTCCGTCTCTCTCTCCTCCTCCTCGACCTCCTCCTCCTCTTCCTCCTCCTTCTCCTTCCCTCTTCCTCTCTCCTCTAACTTCCTCTCTCTCATCTCTCCTCTCCTCCTCCTCCTCCCTCCCCTCCTCCTCCTCCTCCTCCTCCTCCTCCTCCTCCTCCTCCTCCTCCTCCTCCTCCTCCTCCTCCCTCCCCTCCTCCCCGTCCCTCCCGTTCTCCTCCTCTCGTCCGTCTCCGTCGTCCTCTCCGTCCTCCAGCTCCTTGTCCTCCTGGCCCATTCTGCCCTCCGTCCTCCTCCTCCCCCCCCGCCCCTCCTGCGCCTGCTCCTCCCTGCGGCCCCGCCGGCGCGCGCCCGCCCGAGAGCACGGGCGTCAGCACAGCGCCGCGGTGGCCCCCATTGCCGTGCGCCCCCGGGGCCGCGCGCAGGAGCTGCTCGCGGAGCCCGCCGCGCCCGAGGAGCAGGGCCAGGGCTCCCGGCGGCGGAGGGCGGAGGCGGCCTGCCTCTCTCCGCCCAGTTCGCGCGGGCGGGGGGGTGTCGGGGGCAGCGAGCGGGGGGGATGACAGGCACAGGTTCCCAGACCCCCTCGAGTCATGGCAGAAATCACGGCGGGAGGCTTTCCATGTCTTCGGCCTCTGGGGGCCCCTGCGGGGCCTCGGGACCGTCAAAAAACTATTCAGGATGAAGAGCTGGTCCCGGGGCAGGGGTCCAGACCTCTGGGGGCCGACGTCATGAAAAAATCATGACGTCGGGGGTTTGGGTTCTTCGGTCGTGTTCGTCCGTTCGCGGAGGCTTCCCGGCCCTGGGGATGTGTTCCAGCAGCTGCGCCTCGTCGAGGGCGTCCTTGGGGTGCTGGAATCGTTCCAAACGGACTCCGGCGTGCCGAGTTATGATCCGACACAGGGGGGGGAATGCAACGGCCCCCAATCGCCCATCGATCGCCGATAGGGGCCCGATAGCCCAAATCTGCCCAGGAAGGTGCGGACTCACTGTCAGAGGCCAATCGCCGATCTACCAGCGATGTATCGCCGATTCAAGGTCGAGTTTTCCCCCCTATCCCTATCCCTATCCCATCCTATGGTCGCCCCTCATGGGGAGGGGGAGAGGGAGGTCCCGAGCGATGGAGGAGCGCCCCCAGCGATCCGACGCCCCGAACACATGAGAGGGCGGCTGGTTTGGGGCTGTTTTTGGGGAGGCCGTCGCCAGGTCTCGGGACGGTCAAAGAATGACTGAGGACGGCAAAGCGGTCATGGGAAAGTGATCCAGACCTCTGGGGTCCACGTACCGAAAACGTAGGAGCGGCTGGATGTTTGGATCTGGTGACCAAGCGCCTGTCAGCGAGAAGAAACGAGAACTGCACAGCCGAAGCAAGCACAGTTGGACAGCAAGGCACGGTTCAAGCGCACCGCGACGCCCCCTGCAGCAGCGAGATTGCCAGGGGATGCCGTGTGGCGCGCGCTCACACGGGCACAAGTGGTCGGCCTGTGCGCGGATGGAGTGCACGCGAGGCCAGAGGAATTTGCGCTTCCCCGCTCGCACGCGTGCCGGGGTCTGAAGAGTGCCCCTTGCAATCCCTGCCGAGCTTGGGACTGCGACCGCCTGCAGCGCTGTCTGCACCGCAGGCGAGACATGTTGCCGCGGGCCCGAATCTTTCGGCCGAAGCCACGGTGGGCTTCAGCTTCCAGATCCCGACCTTCCGACCCGCCTCCCTCGAGCCCCCCCACGGGCGGCCTCATGTTTAATGGGAGGGGCGCGCTCTCGCCTCTTGCCTTCCGCCAGGTTCGCCGTCGAGGCTGGCTGCCAACGCGGCCGGAGCTGCCTCGAGGGGTGGAGCGACGTCTCGACGGAGCATCGGACAAAACGGGTGGCCAATCCCTGTCTGAGATCATTGGCTCCCAACGCTCCAGAAGCATCGGCCGTTCTCGTAAACTTGGTGGCATCGCCTACGCCTGCGCTCGGACAAACGATCAAAGAAAAGAAGCTCGTGGGCGGCAGCCTCGATGGGCGGCACGGCTTTGCGAGGTTTTTTGCGAGTTGAGGCGTCTCACGCCTGAGTTTCGACAAATGGGAGAAATTGATTGCAGGCTGCGGTAACGATCAACGATCAACAATCAACGGTAAAGATCAACGATCAACGATCAACGATACCATTAACTATCGTTATCGTTGATCATCATCGTTATCGTTGATCGTCATCGTTATTGTTGTCGTTATGGTTATCGTTGTGATCGGTGTCGTTGACCGTTGATCGTTATCGTTGCCGTCCAGGCAAAGATCTCCGAATCTTCCAGCCCCTTTGAGTCGGGTGGGGCGAAAGGGGGGGATTGGGAAAGGGGGGGTTACGAAATTTGCTGCATGCAGCTGGTTTCGGCCTCACCGAGGGGCCCATTCCTCGATACATAGCCGCCTCCGGCGCCGGGAGGCGCCGGGAAAATCAGCTACGTGAGCTGATTCTCAAACCCCCCCTTTGCTATCCCCCCCTTTCGCCCGACCCGATTGAGACCCGCAGCGTGGGCATTCTGCAACACTCTGGAAGCCGCGTGGCCCATGAACTCCAGCGGTGGCAGAGTCGTCGGCCCGCTCGCTGCCTGGGAGACCCTATCTCTATATTAATTGCACGTGTCCCTGCCGAGCGGGTCCTCAAACCTGCGATGCGCAGGGACCGATGCAACAGCAGGTGGGTACTCCAGATTTCATAATAAAAGGGAGGGGGTCTGGACCCCCCAAGACAAGCCGTTTCAGACCCCCCCTCGTGGGAGAACCCTCCAAAACATCGTCCCCAGACCCCCCCAGGCCCTCCAAGATACCCTGGAAGAGACCCCCCCCGAAATGAGACACCCCTCCCTTTATTACGAAATCTGGAGTATTCTTTGCCACACCGCTGCGTGCTTTGACCGAGTCAGACTTGCCGAGGCAGGCCACAGTTGCCCATCTCTCACGTGGTCAAAATTGTCAGAAGCTCCGCGGACGGGCCGAGCTGCATGCTCTATATAGCCTTGATTGCTGTGCAGTGCTCGGACCTGGGTAACTACTGTCTGAAACTGGGCAGGCAAACGCCCCATAGGACGCACGCACAGGGATGCCCGATGAGTCCAGCTTGGCCACTGACCACCCGCATCTGGTGAAGCCCGAAGAAGCCTGGGCCCAACCCGTCCGCAAGAACCCTCCGCCCCGAGACGTTCTGCCGGCCCCCTCCCCCCCAACACACCCCGAGACAGGGTAGGAGTCCTTAGCAGACTCTTGGGAAAGACGGCATTGGCGGGAGCCCGTAGCTGAGGCGAAGAATATGTCCCTGCTGTCTGGCGGATCATACCTCGGCACCAAGGCATCCCTGTGCTCTAGCACATCACCTGGCGGTCCGCATCACCATCGAGCACCGATTCTGGAAGCAAAGCGGCGAACTGCTGAGCTGGATAGAGTGGAGCCTGACGGGTGCTTCGATTCCAGCCGCCCGCACGGCCTTGAGGACCCTTCTTCAGCAAGCATCCTTAATGATCCCTAATGGCCAGAACCACTTGCCGCATAGCTCTCCCCCATCAGGTTTTACCTGCTGACGCAGAAGGTGCTTTAAACTTCGAGCCGACTGCCAAGTACGAATGCCTTGTTCTGGCTGGGACTTAACATCGCTCGAGTTCTCCCTGAGCAGGTCGACCTGCGTCCCGCGATCAATCACAAGCACAGTTGGGGGCAGCATCGACCAACAAACAACGCAAAAGGGAAGCCCATTCAGTGGCGATAGTCCTCCTAACACTCGTCCAAGACGCACGGTGATATATTATGTTTGTGTTTGCTCCCCATGCTCATGCTTTCAAACGCCGGCTCGGTTGCACTCTGGCGTCCCAGACACATGACGCACACCTGTTCGCTATGGCCAGAGTGGCGTCAAGTACAGGATGGAATCTGTCGTCTTTCTGAGTGGCTGAATATAACGTGAGGCTCGACTTAGGCTTAGCCCCACACATACCACCAGCGAATGTCTGCAACGCACAACTCGACGGGTCGTTGACCCCCGAGACGCCAGGGCCGCGTTCTGCCGCAGGGAGGAGCCCTGTTCTCCACACGGCCTTGGCAGCCTCCCCAGCCGAATGACTTTAACCCCACACCTTGCGCTTCCCAGACATGAGGCTCTGCGGTAAGCTCTCTCCCGGGCCTTGGGCGCGCTGCACCTCTGGATGCGTGCATCCTGTGGCCCGGGTCCCTCGTCGAACGCTCGGCGTGGAAACCGAGAGGTTCCAACATCCCACTGAACCTACTCCCGCCTTTGGTGGTGTTGGAAACAATCGGCCACGCGCAGAGGTTGGCAGAAGGAGGGGGGGAGGCTTCTTAGACGGAGGCTGCTTCTTAGGAGGCGAGGGTCTTATCTAGAAGTGTAAGGCCCGCGCCTTCTAAGAAGCAGCCACCTTCTAAGAAGCCTTCCCCCCTCCCCCTACCCCCCTCTGCGAGTGGCCTAAACAAGCCCGCCCTTTTTTGCCCTGAACTATCAGACCCAGCGGCCGAACGTCTCGACAAAAGCGCGCAACGCTGTGGCCAGCTGGTTCGCTTCCTCCTCCCCGAACTCCCCGCTCCACCGCGAACCAGCCCAGTGGAAGCTGGCGTCAGTTCGAGCTCGCGGGGTCACACAGACGGAAGAAGCGCATGCGTTTGCAACAACTTGCGTCTCGGCAGGACCTCGAGCAATGCTGTGGCCCTAGAACACCCCGCCAAACATCCCTTGTGGACGGGACGGGAGGAGAGCTCGAACGCAACGAGCTTGGAGGTAGGTCTGAATGGTCATCCACGCAAGCCGCCTCAGGAAACCAGTGTTTCGAGCTGCCTCTGACAGCGACTGCAGAATAACAGTCTAGCAGCATTGCTTCAGCGGGCGGCTCCAGCGGGAAATAACCGTTTTGAAGTGTTATTTTGGGCATACCGGTCCATCCGTGATGTAAGGCCGCACCTTGGACTGATGTCGGATATTTTGGACACCCTTCCCCTGACAGCGCAAGCATCTCCACAAGTTTTTACACGAGCTAAGGTTTCACGTGTTGGGTCGCCTATTGCAGGGTGGCCCTCGCGTGACTCCGGGTTTGTTTGGTGCATGTTGCCAGCATCTCGTCACACGTGGTTCGATTATCGTATGTTTCTATAGTTTGTGCGAATGCCCGCCAGATTGCCTGACTGCATGCCAGTCGTTCGTGCATTCTTGATTTTTCAAAAAAAACAAGAAATAGTCTCGCAGCATGCCATCACGTCGACGAACACCGTCAAGCTATCTCCCCCTACCGCATGCGCGATTTTCGAATCTAAGTTCGAAGCAAACGCAGTCCGACGAGGACCTTCCAGCCCGCGCCCCCAAATGTCTCCAAGATCGTGAGCGACTTCCCTCTCGGCCGCAACTCGCCTTTGGAGCCTCCCCCAACTCTTGAGGAGAATGTGAGTTTGAGCAGTCAATCTACTTCTCCCGCTGGGTTTGGTGAGGCGGACTGGCTGGGTCAGCATCCCACTCGATGGCCAG